ACCTGCAGTAAAAGCAGATTTTATACTTCGAAATATTGTAGTCTATAATTTAAGGTTTAATTTCGTGAGTTTAGACGGAAAATGAGAAATAATGGCATTTTTTGACCGTCATTGCTGTTCGTTCGCGTTTAATGGAGCATAGAAAATTAGTCCAGATTTCCTCTAAAATAATTTATCTTGACCACACAAGGGCCTGATTTCGATGTATCGGGTTGAGAGAAATGCATGAAAATTAGAGGACACTTTAACAAATACCTTGCCATCACACTCGTTAACGTTATTTACTCATAAACAATTTCAAAATCTATCAATTTAAAGAATTTAGACTAAACCCGGAGCAAAATAAAAATTCTGAATATGTGTAAATATCCGTTAATTTGGAACACAGTGGTAACAGATAAAGAAATGTAGTTCGTAAAAAGAATTATTTAGGCAAAACAATCGTAATTAAGCAGAAAACGCCATGATATTTCAATAATATGTATTATTTCAATGTTCTTTTTAACCCCACCCCCCTTCCTTATGACAAAGACTACTTCTTTCGCCCTGTTATAAAAAGCAAACATATTTTAAATAATTTTTAATCCTGATGTGAATCAGTATGCATGAATTAAAAATTTGAGACGAAAAAACAACAAAAGTTCAACGCGCAAGATCATTACATACAGTTCAACTTTTGCCATATTTTTAGAAATCCGTGTTCACCGCGAACACCCCTGTCACCGAGTGTCGCCAATATTTTTCCTACCTTGAGACGGATTTTTATGAAACTTGCTTTATTACATTGAATATTCATTACAGATCGGGAAAATAGCATTATACTGGCAAGCAAAAATTTTCACTCTTATTGCAGGTGTCATAACAGTATTTCACTTGAGGTTCACGTCAAATCATGGCTGACGCAAAATAATTCCTGAATCTTCCCTTCCGATTCGGGCATTTTAACACGAGACTGGAGCTGAATTTTTTTATGAGATGAAAAACAATATGTAAACTTCCTATATTGACTAGATTCATTAAAATTTAGGGCGTACTGAATTTTCTATATACTGTATTTGAGTGGGGAGTGATTAGGTCCTGGACTTGGTTTTCAAGCACCTGCTCGACTTCGAGCGAGACAAACTTGCGTGCCTTGCTGGATGGCTATGTATTTTTTGGTACTAAAATCTTTATAAAGAATTGTTTTACAAGATCTGAAAAGGAAACTTCTCAAAAGTTTGTTTTCAATTAATACCATCTACTCAAAGTTGCGCATTTTTGGTAAGAATATATAGTAAAATTTAATGCTGTTGTGCAACCTGCAATTCGACCCTAATTAAATTGAAGAATCCGTCCCACACGTTATCAATTGACACGTCTAGGAAAAGTCAAAATAAATGCTTACCAGTAAGTAAATGGTATTTCTAAAGGATAAAGAGAAATAGCAGTCACATTTACAATGAAGAAATAACAGACAACTAACGTATAATGGGTATTCGGAACTAGTAAAATGACAACACGAAAATATTCCGATATCTTCCGGTGGTCTATTATTTATTTTCGGCAAGCTTTTGGTATTTGTTAAAATACATATGAAACTTACTTTTGATAGTTGAAATGTTGTTTTATGTGAAAAATTGACCTCTTTACAGAGGTTTTTTCTGCAGACAAACGCGTCGCGGTGATTTAGATTTGTTGCATTCACAGGCTCTTAGATCGCTTTGAAAAATTAAGGTGTTATCTTTTTTATATACACCCCGGTTTTTTAAAGTCGGATTTAAACGATCCAAAGGCCTGTGGTTGCATTGTAAAAGTATGTCGCCTGTTTCAAGTACGATAGAGAACACAAACTGACGGCAAAAAATCAAAACTTCACATAATTCTAACACTTATAGATAAGCCTTCATACCATATGTATAAATTTATGTTTACACTTTTAAATTTATTAATTATCAGCTCTTAAATACATAAATTCATACATATGGTATGAAGGCTTATCTATAAGTATTAGAATTATGTGAAGTTTTGATTTTTTGCCGTCAGTTTGTGTTCGCTATCGTACTTGAAACAGGCGACATACTTTTACAATGCAACAATTTAAATCTGAATCACAGCGACGCGTTTGTCTGCAGAAAAACGTCTGTATGTATTTATGTTTACACTTTTGAATTTATTAATTATCAGCTCTTAAATTATTAATTATTCGGAACTGATCAAAATTCGGAACTGTTCAAACGACTGAGGTATTATCATAATGATGTGATCCAAAAATAAAACTTTCAAAGTATCAACCTCTGTAACAAGAACACCAGTACGTATTAGCTACTAGAGAAAGGCTGAATCCTTACACACTCACCATCTTAATTGATAAGTAGGAAAATCTAATCTATACTTTGTGTACTTAAAACTTACATGCACTGTGCGGAACCCATTGAATCGTTTTGAGGCACTACCCGTTATTATCGAATATTTTCGGAGCATATGGGAATTTTTCATACATTTTATGAAATTTGAGAAGTCGCAAAAATAATTGCGATATATGCAAGTTGATTTTTGTTTTACAACAATTTTCATCTATCCAATGATGGAAAAGTCAGATTTAATTAAAAAGATACAATTAAAATCAATACCTGCATGTGCCTCTCGGTGTAATTCAGAGTTGAGAGGAGTTCTACTTTAAATAGCTTGAAAGAAAAAATATTATTTTTGTTAATCAATGAAGATTGGGGTTATTGATTGAACCCACACACAAAAAAATATTAAAGTAGCACCTAAGAAAATCGGTTTTATTCCTCAAAAGTATGATAAAACTTATTATCATCATAATACAGTTCAATCATTAAGTGTTCCACAGCATTAAAATCATAGAGATATGTTTCATTTCAATTACTTTGCATTCATTCAGCGAAACATTGCAAACGTTACGTGCGGTTGCTTACATTTGGACAGGTGATTTTTAGCTCAGAAATTCATTCCAACGTTAGGGCCGTTTCGCAGATACTGTTAGCTTGGAATATATTTGAAAAACTTATCAAAAATTATTTTTAAAAAATTCTTTTACAGTTATGCATTCGATACCTATTCTAATCTTTTAAAAGATAGAAATTTTCTTCTCTTAAACTCAACGGTATTTATTCGTATACATATGTATGGAATTTACCTTTCAGCTGTGACTAAACAAATATTTACTTTAGTATACTACACATATGTAGTTAACTATGGTAAATACTACGATACTTTGATTTACTATGAAACTTAACTCAAGATTTTTTATTATTTTTTATCCGTGCGTCTGTCCGTACCAAGCATAACAAATTTTGGTCGCAATTTTCTCAGCAACTACTCATCGCAGATGCTTGAAATTTTAGCACACTCTTTGTTTAGGCATGTCATATATTGGGATTCATTTTTGTATGAATCCGATGTCAACTCCCTGTTTATCCGTGCGTCTGTCCGTTCCATGCATAAGAAATTTTGGTCGCAGTTTTCTCAGCAACTACTCATCGCAGATGCTTGAAATTTTAGCACACTCTTTGTTTAGGCATGCCATATATTGGGATTCATTTTTGTATGAATCCGATGTCAACTTCCTGTTTATCCGTGCGTCTGTCCGTTCCATGCATAAGAAATTTTGGTCGCAGTTTTCTCAGCAACTACTCATCGCAGATTCTTGAAATTTTAGCACACTCTTTGTTTAGGCATGCCATATGTTGGGATTCATTTTTGTAAAGATCCAATGTCCACTTCCTGATTATCACTGTGTCTGTCCATAGCTGAACTTGTATAATCACATCAGAGCGGGGGTATTATTAGTGAGCATTGGCTCACAGACTTCTTGGGTTTTTTTAGATTTCAAAGCTTAAAATCTCTTTAACAGATAACAGTGATGTAAATTTTGGAAATAATATGTGAAAATACAAGTAATAGTTTTATTTAACATAAAAATTTGCATGTATGAATTGGAGAACATAAAACATAACAATCTGAAATCCATAGTTAAAATACAATGATTTACTGTTATTAGTAAAACTTTTATTTACTATAGTAAAAACTATGATGCTAAAGCAAACTATAGTTAACTATAGTATTTTTTTGTCAGGTTGATCCACAAGTTTACGTTCAGTGTACGTCCCCATGAACTTTCATGAAAGAAAATTTCACCTATCCCTAACAAAAAAATACTACATGTATAGCCAATAATAGTTGACTAAAGTATACTATACGTGACTAAAGTAAATACTTTGATTTACTAAGAAACTTTACTTTAGAACTTTTCTGGGTATTTCGAAGCTTATAATCCTTAAATTAACATAACAAAATGAAGTAAATTTTGGAATTAATACGTGAATATACAAGTAATATTTTCATTCAATATCCAAAATGTGCTATAAAAAATTGATGTGTTAAAACGCAATTATTTTATTAATTAAGGTAAATTATGCGTTTAATCACAAACATCTTTAAAAGCACACTATCGCTTTTAAACTAAAAGAAAAAAATGCATTTAAGCATAAAAGAATGTGATTTTTGCGTTTTTATTGAAAGAACGTTGTTATCAGATGCAAAATATTGCATTAAAAGGCAACGATTGTTGCATTTAATTCTCTTTACTCGAAACTGCTCGACAAACTAGGCAAGTTAAAAAGCTTTCCTTGAATCCGATGACGATGATATTCTTACATCGCCGCCCTGCACTACACGCCCCAACGAGCTACTGTAGGATTTAGCCATTTAAGAAAAAAAAATACCTAAAATATTAGAATTTTTACATGTAAAAAAGGTATGTGTATATTTATGTTTTTTTTCTCGAAATACGTGAATTCCACCTCTCAGACATTTATCTGTATGGATGATGAAAATTGATATTTATCATTAAAAAAAAAATTCGGTCAATCCTACGATGATGATATTAATAATTGACAGCTTGGTTAACAAATAAATGTACATTGAGACACATGTGGTTGAATAACTGTTGAAAATTATGTATTTGTACAAGAGGAAAAGAACACTGCACCAAATGATAAATTATTTTCTATTTATTTTTTGAAATATACTGTTCCCAATGACCATTGCAAGTGTCAAAGTAGAACATACTTCACATCCACACATTCTCAGTTTCTCATATGTACACAATACCTTATGATGTGTTAATATTGTATAGCTCTTTAAGGAAATCCATGATCTTAACTGACAATCCAGTCCACAGAATTCTTGGTCAGTGCATTTGGGAGAGATGTATGTTCCCCAACCTTCCAGAAGATCGCTCTTCGATTCCCGTCAGTAACTGTTAGGGTGAATTTCCAAAACGGTGGCTTTTTGAATTGTCTTGGAATCCCCCCTGTCCCGTCCTCATCGCTGATGTATCGAATGGACTGGGCTGCAACTTCATTTCCTTCTATGGCAATGTTGTCTGCTTCTACGATACTGTATGACTTTTCTGCTTCTTGAATAACTAATCGTAGTTGTGAACCTTTCTGCACGGCATTTATCAAATTGCTTTTAGACCCATCATTAACAACCCCAGTGCTAGAAGTAGAGAGTACTTTCTTCCACGGTCTTGTCTCGATATACCATTCCATTGATTGATTTCCCTGAGAATCTCCTCTGCTGGTACTACTCCCTATATTGTATCTGATTGTTTCTACATTTCCAGTTGTGGAGGCAATTTGCCAGTACCAATAAACGTCGGATTGAAAAGAAAATGCACCATCTTTTGATAAATGACCCAAAAGCTGGGCAGAAACATGACCGTTTCTTACATACAAATTGTCTGTCTCCACCATGTATGTATCTCCTATCTTTATCCTAACTCTTCTTCCAGATAACACCGCGCCTACGAGAAAATCAAGGGATCCATCCAGCCTATGTCCATCCTGATTGTGACTATATGCCAAGGTCCAACAGTTATCTACAAACCACTGCATTGGGGCATTTTCATTAGTATGTCCTCGACTAACGTGCTCTCCGACATTCCATCGTGACATCTCTAGGCGACCTGAGGTTGACCATATGGTGGCCCACCAATAAGCATTTGGTTGATATTCAATACGGTTACCTACATTAGTTTGACTGATATGCCATGGGTACTGTCCAGCCAAAGACTGACCATTATTTGAAAGCTGAACATTTGTAAATCCTGAAACGTAACCGGTATTTAAATAAACAGCTTTGAATCCCGCGCCATTCTGCATAGCTTCAGTCAAGAGAGATATATCGCCACATTCTCTCCAACCAGACATCTGGTTGCAGTATAAAGGTTGTGTCTGACAACTGAATTTTCTGTAAGAAATTATAAGCATAAATTTACTGCTTTTAATGTGTATAAATTAGTCGAGAAGTTCCTGAAGAACGAGCAATGGGTAAGAATGAAACGAACTTCTGTGTACACAAGCCTGTTTGTCTAATACAATAAGATTAATGAGAGATAAATATACACATCTGTAGCTAAAACTGACTAAAACTGCCAGAAATGTACACTGCACATTACATGTCACACAAATATATATATATATATATATATATATATATATATATATATATATATATATATATATATATATATATATATTAGGGATGTCAAATCGGTCAATTTTTGATAATCGGTTACTCGGACGTTTTTCCGATCGAGTACCCGGGTACTCGGTAAAAATGTAAATACAAGTTTTTTTTGTTTTTTTTTTTTTAATTATTAATTTGTTTAACCCCAAAGCTGTTTTTAATCACATTTTATGAATGTATATAAACATGGAGTCCAACGGAAATGATTTTTGGTACTAAATTTATTTATTAAATAAACACAAATGACGCAATTAATACGTCAAAATTTCCAAATGGTTTACAATTCTTGTTTAGGATCTATTTCATTAAATGCAAAAGGAGAACAATCTGTTACGCAGGTTTGCGATGATTAGACTAGCGAAAGAGAAGGAACGGACGTTGTCTGGATCGCTTGTCTAATATTTTTTCATATGTTGGTTGTTTCCCCCGTATACACCAAACTTACTATGGAAACTGACTTTAAACATTTTTTGGAATCTTTACTTATTTTGAAATGGGTAGCGGCATTTCTATGCACGTCCGATTTAGCTGCCGTATATTTTAAAACTATATAATGTAAAAATGATTGGAAGATAATTAGACCATATTAAACGGTGTTCACTGAAAAACAATCATTGAAGCCATCAAAAAATTAAGGACCACAATAGGTGAGAACAGCTGTATACCAGGTGATTGGTCACTAATTACTGTATATACACAGCCATAGGTGATAACGGGTGTTTACATGTGTAGATGACAACACGCTAATTACCCGTATGCATATTTAAGTTATTTTTTTGATAAGTTTTTGATAAAAATATGTACTATGAAATAAGAAAAAATACACATCCGAGTAACCGAGTACCATTTTTAGTATTCGATACTTGGACGTTCGATCGAGTACCCGGTTAACCGGGTACTCGTTGACATCCCTAATATATATATATATATATATACATATATATATATATATATATATATATATATATATATATATATATATATATATATATATATATATATATATATATATATATATATATATATATTCATTTTGTAACTGTCTGAAGAGCCATTAAAAGGCAGAAAGCGCTTACAGTTAAAATGATTATTCGAGTCTTGTGATCCTTGATTTTTTCATTGGATATAACAATACTTTACTGTACCAAAAATTGGATTTTTTTTCAAAGTATATATATATATATATATATATATATATATATATATATATATATATATATATATATATATATATATATATATATATATATTGTACTAGTATACCTTGCAAACCACGTTACAGCATAGGTGGTTTTAGTCTGGCCTCTGTCCACATGGGCTCCAACTGACCATCTAGACATATGAGTATTACCTGTTGTACATACCATGAGGAACCACCAGTAGGCATTACTTTGAAAATTAAATGGTCCATTTTTACTGACATGGAACAGGGCTTGCACACAAACGTTCTCATCTCCTGACAGAGAAGCAGATTGAATGGAAGAGACATACGATCCATCATCTAAGGAAAATCTAATGTCACTTCCTGTCATAATATGGTCCACAAGGTTTCTTTTTTTACCATAAATTTCTTCACCATTTTTTCCTGTTTTCAAAATGGTTGTCCATTTTTCGTTGCAGTCTATGTTTGAAAATGAACAATGTGTTAGTGCATGGTAACAGGAATAGATATATTTTTACAGCTAGAACACAGCAATACTAATTCTTGTAAATAAAAATGTGAAAAATAATTTTAACACATTTTTATGATAAGCATAATATTGAATAGATAGTTGTTCATATTTTTAATGTTTGAGAATTAATATTAATTTTGCTAATGTGAACATTCAATATATTTCATTCAATATTCTTACCGCAAAAAGCCTGACCAGAGAAAAAAATTACGATGAGAAGGAAGATGTAATTTGCAAGTTCATTCATGCTTATCTTGGAGATGACTTTCCGTCAACGTGTTGATGATAGTGAAGAATTGCTGCTATATTATGGTTTTAATAATCATTTTTAAAGGTCACAGATGTTACCAAAGTACGTGCAGAATCTCTATTGTATTGATAATGATACAAAATGATGATGTTTATTGCACTATTTTTTCATGTAATGATAGATGTTTTTCTACTAACAAGTGATGTAATGAAATACAATATATGTGGAATCCGAATCAGGCCATGTAGTTCACTATTGCACCATCGACAGTGGCGTAGCTGCCATTAGGCACTTAAGGCACGTGCCTAAACTTGATTTTTTTTTTCCAGAAAAAACTTAGAAACAAAACTGTAAAAAAGAAAAAAATAGTTAACTGACTGTTTCACTGTAGGACTTTTTATAAAATGTCTTGAAAATTTTTATATGCAAGAACATGTAATTAAATGTAGATATAAAACTCCCCTGACGCTCACAAGATATGTTATGTGTGGTATTAATTTTCATTTTAATTAATAATTAATTTGAATTAACAGCAATTAACTTTTTTATGGCTCTCCGTCGGAATTTACCACTTCTTTGTAGATAGACTAGATTAGCTTTTTTCTGGAAAAATTTATATATTTTCATTATTTATTGTAAAACATTGCTTTGAGTCTGATTATTTTTGAATACTTTTTTAATGACTTTCTTCTTCATGTTCTAAATTTGATTAGGCCGAAAAAAAATATGAAAACTCTTCTAACTAAAGATTTCTGGTTAAAAAGTTGGACTGCACTGTGGCAACGCACTTTGCAAAATTTTTTCAAAGTGCGTTAATTTTGGGACAAAATCAACGCACTTTGAAAAAAAATTTTCAAAGTGCGTTGAATTTGGGACCAAATCAACGCACTTTGAAAATTTTTTTCAAAGTGCGTTAAGAGTGTACATCATAATTTTTTACCATGTACACACTTAACGCACTTTGAAAAAAATGTGTATAAAACAAAAATTTTGGACTTAAATTTTAGTAATCGACAACATTATTATTCCCTCGCAACGGTTGAGGGGATATAGTAACGCGATTATGTGTGTTAGTGTGTGTGTTAGTTTTTCCTGTGCGAAACGGAAGTGACATAATTTGCATCGGGATCGATGTTAAATGCTACCTTGACTTATAGAAAATGCTTTTTCGGAAGGAATGCTCCGCTTTGCTGTGCCCTTGTAAAACTTCCAGTCGAATGAATATTGTGACTAATGTTTTATTTTATTAGTATTAAATTAATCAGTCTAGCGTATGTTCATATTGAATATGATATATAAATATATATATATTAGGGATGTCAAATCGGTCATGTTTTGATAATCGGTTACTCGGATGTTTTCCGATCGAGTACCCGGGTACTCGGTAAAAATGAAAATACATACAAGTGTGTTAATTTTCTTGAGCCCGGTTAAGCTCTGTTAACCCCCAAAGCTGTTTTATCACGTTTATAAATGTATATAAACAATTGAGTCAAAGGGAAATGAGTTACTTTTTGGTACTAAATTTACTTACCAAATAAAAACAAACGACACAATTAATACATCAAAAATTACAAATGGTTTACAGTGTTTGTTTAGGATCTATTTCATCAACACAAAAGGAGGACAATCTGTTGCGCAGGTTTGTGGTGATTAAACTAGCGAAAGGGAAGGAACGGACGTTGTTGGGATCGCTAGTCTAATATCATTTCATATGTTGGTTGTTACACTAAACTTACTACGCAAGCTGTCTCTCAACATTTTTTTAAACTCTAGTTGTTTCTAAATATTTCTTCCATTTTGAAGTGAGTAGCGGCATTTCTAATGCATATCCGATTTCGCTACCGTATATCAATTGATAATTTAAAAACGATTTGAAGATTATAGACCATACTTAAACTATGTTCACTGAAAACAATCATTGAAGCCATCCAGAAATTAAGGACAACAATAGGTGAGAACAGCTGTGTACCAGGTGATTGAGCACTAATTACTGTATATACACAGCCACCAGGCCCGTAGGAAGCAATTTTAGTTGGAGGGGGGGGGGCACAGCCAAACATTTTTCAATTGACAGTTGACTACCAAAAATTTCCTGACAAGCAAAAAAGAAAAAAGAAAAGGTCATCAGACGTTTTTATTGAGGAGGCACACGCAATATAATATCTATGTTTACTATAGTAATCTATATATCGGCAAAATTATTGGGGGGGGGGGCACGACCCCCCGTGCCCCCCCTCCGGTTCCTACGGCCATGGCCACAGGCGATAACGGGTGTTTTACAGGTGTAGATGACGACGAGCCAATGTATATTTAAGTTATTGATAAGTTATTGATAAAAATATGTACTTTGAAATAAGAAAAAAATACACTTCCGTGTAACCGAGTACCATTTTTAGTATTCGATACTCGGACGTTCGATCGAGTACCCGCTTAACCGGGTACTCGTTGACATCCCTAATATATATATATATATAGAGAGAGAGAGAATTTTCATGGTAGAGAAAAATCATAATTTCTCCTTTTTCCCTTTAAGTCACATCCACCGAACTTACTACAGATTGGATTAAAATAAAAAGTAACGAAATTATGCTATTAAACAATAATTTCTAACAGACCCATTTCCCTTTTATAAAATTTACGAGAACTGTTGGGAAGAAATCAACCCCTAAAAGTCTTTAAAACGTCTATATCTCAGATTCTGAAGTGACATCATCACTGAAAAAGTATTAAATCAGGTTCAAATAATTATTTATCATACCTAAAATTTGCAAGAATGTTGACCGAGCCGTGCACATTTTTTTTCAAAGTGCGTTAATATGGTCGATATTAACGCACTTTGAAAAAAAAAATTAAATTTTTCAAAGTGCGTTAACGTGGTCCCAAAATTAACGCACTTTGAGAATTTTTTTCAAAGTGCGTAATTTTTGAAATTGCGTTGTAACACTGCACTTTCTTAGCTTTTCTACTTAATATAAAATTTCATTTTAAAGAGACCCAGAATTTTGTAGTTTAAATGCCCAGAATTTGTCACCCAGGGGTCTTAAAATCGTGAAATCCATTTTCCGTCGGGGGCCTTCGCCCCCCTGAACCCCCTACCAGGGCGCTGCCCTGGACCCGCTGGGGGCCTTGAGCGGCCCCCAGACCCCTCGCCTCACACAGGATAATTTGTGCCTATACTTCATCAAAGTTGTAGCTACGCCCCTGATCGAGGTTAGAGTCCATGTTGCGTCGACGCGATAATACGATGACGATGAAGCGATGGTGCAATAACATAAAAATAATAATTATGATGTTACCTTTCTAATGATAGCTTTGATTTAATTCTCTGTTAATTAGTCATTTAAATATGGATGCGGATATTATGAAACGCCCTTTACTATACTGATGGTGCTCTTTTGAAGCACACATATGGAGTTGTATTATCTTGTTTTCCCCGGATGTTATTGATTGTCCGGCGATCCTAATCCTAGCCAAAAGTCATAAACATAAAATATAACATTTTCTTGTTTACTATCAAATGACGAAGCGTGACCACAAACGACCCTGCCTAAGACAGACCAGCAGAACAAAAACACTATGCCCCCAATTTTCAATTTTCAGGGCATAAAATATTCCCATTCGGCTACCTAATAAGCAGTGAATTTTGTATATTAAAACTTTGGGAAATGTTACATTTGTTCAGTGAGCAAAATATTATGTTTTTTTTTTTTTTTTTTTTTTTACAAATTCTTTTTCGTATAAGAAAGTCTGCGAAGACTTCAAAATCTAACATTCAAGATCATACGAAATGATTTGAATTTAATTACAGATGTCTGCCAAAAGTGAAGATAATTTCGTTTTTTCTCTATATATTTTATTGAAAACCACGTTTAGTTGAATCGCTGGCAAATGGTCAATCTTTTTCCAATTTCATTATTTATTTCGTAATTAAACCAGAAAATGTGTAGTTATCTTTTTCTAAAAGATCATAACATACTTAGTTTTTAGAAAAAAGATAGTTCATCATTTACATCAGTTGTAAAATTCAAGATAAATGTATAAAAATAATTCATTGTGCGTATATCACTTAAATTTTCATGTTCCACTTTAATTACAATATTTTTTAAATATCGATGCTGATCAGCTAAAAACTATTGTTTTTATCAATTATAACAATTTCTTGGATTATCAAGAAATTTGTGGTTAAATCTGTCAAAAAATGTCATTCCAGTGATTTTACAAAATGTTGTTTGTAATGAAAAATATAGAGAAAAAATATCTTCTGATTGACAATATCTATGTAGTTTTTGGAGATCAGATTTCCAAAAATCTGCTTTTTCGAAGCTGCTTTTTCATGAAAAATGGAACTCGTAGATATACTTACCTTGTCATTGGTCATTTACAGAATTATTTTGTTAAAAAGCGCTCTGATTGTGCACACAAGTACACTGAAGTTGATATTAAAAAGATGCTTGAGTTTCTGATTGACAATATTTATGTAGTTTTTGGAGATCAGGTCTTCCAACAATATGTTGGAGTTCCCATAGGAACCAATTGCGCCCCTTATAAGCAGACCTATTTTTGTGTTCATATGAAGGCCCGATCCCAAAAACTTCTACATGAGAAGAAGAAAACACTTGCTGTGGCTTTCAACTCGACATTTCGATATATCGACGACGTATTAACAATTAACAATAGTTACTTCATTCATATGTCGACTCGATATATCCCAGTGAGCTTGAAATAAAAGATACCACAGATTCTGACACATCTGTTTCATATTTAGATATTTTACTAGAAAAAGACGTAAATGGTAATCTAACAACAAAGCTTTATGAAAAACGTAATGACTTCAACTTTTCAATCGTCAACTTCCCTTATTTATGTAGCAATATACCCTTATCACCTGCATATGGGGTTTATGTCTCTCAGTTGATTCGATACGCAAGAGCATGCTCTACGTATGAACAATTTCTAAAGCGAAACAAGCTATTGACAAACAAGTTGAGAAACAAGGATAGTCTCGTTTGAA